GCCACCTGAACGGGGGAGGAGGTGAAGCTGGAAAACGAGCTTGTTGAGATATTCATCCATTAGCTGGTGGTCCTGGAGCTTCTTGTATCTTCTAGCTATTTCCTTTAGCTTATTTGCTTTCCAGAGGAGGGCTCGTTCTTTTTGTCGCTTCTTCTTGTGTTTGGAGCAACTTTCTGAGGGGTATCTCCTGGATCACCAACGGGGCTCCTGGCTGCCTACCTTCTGGTGGTGTTTGGGTATGCTGCTGGATTTCTAAGCAGATAAGCTCCAACCACTGATCGTAGACCTGATCCAACACTCCTTGGCCTCTTGCATGCTCGTCAGCTTCCCGTTTCGGCACGCTGGCGATGTCGCCCCTGTCATTCGTGTGATCCTGGATAAAACTCCCCAGTGATTCCTTCAGATGCGCATGCGAGGGAGGGCAAGGGGGCTGGTCCAATGGCTGGGTCGGTGGGATACCGCTGGCACTTGCCTGGTATCTTTACCAGGAACTCATCTATGTCGGTTCTGGGCACAAGCTTCACTGGGCGATGAGGAGAGAGGGGAGTGTCCAAATCCACTGAAACTGACTGGAGGCCTGGGTCAAGATGCTGCTGATCCAGAAATAATCGATCCTGGATTCATGTCTCCGCAAACACACGTGGGTTCCAGCGGGGCCTTGATGGACATACCGATTTTATCGAGGTCCGCATTCCCGATCATGTCAACTACGCTGATAATGAAATCCCCACCAACTATGACTGGCAGGCCCGTGGAATTAATGTCCTGCCCCAGCTTTCGGAGGATGCTTAAGTTGATGTCGTCAAAATCTACTCTATCCTTTAGGTATACGATGTACAGGCCTACGACTCCCAACTTCAGATGGCGGAGATAGCATTTGCATAGCCTGCCAGGCACTAGCAACTGCTGGGACTCATTGGGGATCCATGCATCCAAGTGAGCACGCACAAGTATGAGCACTCCTGACGACGCTCCTCCGTTCTTCGACATGAATGCTGGGGCCCCGAATACTCCCCACCCTTTCTGCCTGAGGGAGGAGACGACGACTGAGTACCTGCGAGGTAAGAGCTTGTGCTCCTGAATGAGAAGCACGTCGACTGTCGAATCTGCTAGCTGGGGCAATATGTCTTCTGCTGTGCCCCACGACGATACATTCAGCGTACGAATCTCGAAAATGCTGATCTGCTCACTTTGGGACTGCCACTGCCGCTGCTGCCGCTGACGCCGACGCCGCTGCCTCTGCGATGGTCGCGGCACATGGGGCTGAGGGCGGGGGCGGAATCCCTGTTGGCTTTTGCTTTTTCCCAGAACTTCGACAAGCACGTTGGACACCAGCGAGGAGTTCTGGGGAAAGATTGAGAGCATTGGCCAGACTCTTGCCCCCTGGGTCCAACATGTCCGACGCCTTGTGTTTAACTCCTCATGCGCCCTCCATCGGGGTTGGTTCTGGGACATTTGCCTGGTCAAACTTCTGGCGGAGCTGGTCACGGTCGGGATGATTGAGAATAACTTGCTCCCAAATTCCCAGCCGACTGGTGAGGGTCTCAACTGTAGACTGGAGCTCCTCCTTCTCTGGGTCCTCATACTCCTCCTCATCTTCGTCAAAGTCCTTCTCCTGATACTTCTGCCAAAATCCACCTTCCTCTGGTGAGTCTTTATGCACTGACGTGACGATCTCAATTTCCAATCGGTCGATCTCACTCTGCACATGTTCTTTCTCCTCGAGCACCTCTTTCTTCCTCTTCTGCACTGCCTCCAACAGCTCCTCAATATCCTCCTGCTCCTTCTCCAATGCTGCCAACTCTGCTTGCTGCTGATCAAGCTGCCGGTCCACACGTAGCAGGCGCTTGGACTTTGGTAGGTCCTGTTCCTTGGAGCTGCGATAATCCTGCATGAGGGAGTCCAGCTGGGGAATGAGGTGCTCTGGGATATCTGAACAATCCTTGGAGTGGGCATGCTGGACCAGGAGGTTGAGAAGGGTGGGCCCGTTGAGTTTCGGGCGGGGTGCGCCTCCTCCTCCTCCTTTGCCTTTCCACACTCCCTTCGGGCCCCCACTACCTCCCCAATACAGGTCGTGGGGTTGGGAGGGGTGGGTGAACTTTCCGTAGCCTTTGCCTTTGCCTTTGCCTTTGCCTTTTGTGGTACTGCCTTTGCCATTGCCTTTGGTCCTGGGTCCTTTGGTACCTCTCTGCCCACTCGAGAGGTCGGTGAAGCGGGAAGCCCATTTGCCCATTGGGGATCTCTCCAGTGTAATAGCAGGCCCATGTAATAGACTTGCAGAGCAATGGTAACAGTAAGAATACCAGAACAGCTTCTTAGCATTCCCACATTGGAGGCACTTGACTGTCGCATGGCTGGCACGGCTCATAACTTGCGGGGTAAGCTTGGGGTTGTTGGACGGGGCCAACGTTCGCTGGGAGTTGAAGGGCTCCCACCCTGCAATGCCGAAATGCGTCCAGACGCCTCCTTGGTCCGCAAACGGCGATATCTTAAGCCAAAACGGCTACGGACCACCCTCCACCTCCTCCTCCTCCTCCTCCTCCTCCTCCTCATCATCATCATCATTATCATCATCCTCCTCCTCCTCCTCCTCCTCCTCCTCCTCCTCCTCCTCCTCCTCCTCATCATCATCATCATCATCATCAGCATCAGCATCATCATCATCATCATCATCATCATCATCATCACATCATCATCATCATCATCAGCATCAGCATCAGCATCAGCATCAGCATCAGCATCATCATCATCATCATCATCATCATCATCATCATCACCATCACATCATCATCATCATCATCATCATCATCATCATCATCATCATCATCATCATCACCATCATCAGCATCATCATCATCAACATCATCATCATCATCATCATCAGCATCATCATCATCATCATCAGCATCATCATCATCATCATCATCATCATCATATCGTCATCGTCATCGTCATCACCATCATCATCATCATCATCATCATCATCATCATCAGCATCAGCAGCATCATCATCATCATCATCATCATCATCATCATCATCAGCATCATCCTCCTCCTCCTTCTCCACCCTCCTCCTCCTCCTCCTACTCCTCCTCCTCTTCCTCCTCCTCCTTCCTCCTCGAGCCTCCTCCTTCTCCTCCTCCTCATCCTCCTCTTCCACCCTCCTACTCCTGCTCCACCCGCTCCTCCTGCATCCTCCTCCATCATCCTCCTCCTGCATCAGCATCCTCCTCCTCCTCCTCTCCTCCTCCTCTCCTCCGTCCTCCTCCTCCTCCTCCTCCCCTCCTCCTCCTCCTCCTCCTCCTCCTCCCCTCCCCTCCCCCTCCGCCCCCTCCTCATCCTCCTCCTCCTGATCATCAGCATCATCATCATCATCATCATCATCATCATCATCATCATCAGCATCATCATCATCGTCATCATCATCAGCACCATCACCATCACCATCACCATCATCATCATCATCATCATCATCATCATCATCATCATCACCATCACCATCACCATCACCATCCCCATCACCATCACCATCATCATCATCATCATCATCATCATCATCATCAGCATCATCATCGTCATCATCATCATCATCAGCATCATCATCATCATCATCAGCAGCAGCAGTATCACCACCACCGCCAGCATCATCATAATCAGCAGCAGCAGCATCACCATCATCAGCAGTATCAGCATCAGCATCATCAACACCATCAGCAGCAGCATCATCCTCATCATCATCCGCATCATCCTCAGCATCCCAATCATCATCATCCTCAGCCTCAGCCTCATCATCATCCACATCATCAGCATCATCATCATCATCAGCATCATTGTCGGCATCATCAGCATCATCATCATAAACCTCATCAGCATCATCAGCAGCATGAGCATCAGTATCAGCATCGGCATCAGCATCATCGTCAGCATCAGCATCGTCATCATCATCAACATCATCAGCATCATCAGCATCATCAGCATCGCCCTCACCACCACCAGAATCATCACCATCATCATCATCATCATTAGCAGCAGCATAATGATCATCAGCAGCATCGTCAGCATCGTAATCATCAGCAGCATCGTCATCGTTACCATCTGCATCAGCATCAGCAGTATCATCATCACCACCGCCACCGTCATCATCATCATCATCATCATCATCATCATCATCATCATCATCATCAGCATCAGCATCAGCATCATCATCATCACCATCAGCATCAGCATCATCGTCATCGTCAGCATCATCAGCATCATCCTCATTTTCATCCTCATCATCAGCAGCAACATCATCATCAACAGCATCATCATCATCATCACCACTACCACAACCAACACCGCCATCAGCATCATCATCATTAGCATCATCATCATCAGCATCAACAGTAGCGTCACCATCATCATCACAACCATCAGCATCAGCATCGTCATCATCATCATCAGCATCAGCATCCGCATTATGATCAGAAGCATCATCAGCAGCATCAGCAGCATCAGCATCAGAAGCAGCATCACCAGCATCATCGTCAGCACCCGAATCCGCATCATCAGCATCAGCATCACCATCATCAGCATCACCCGCAGCATCATCATCATCAGCATCAGCATCAGCATCATCAGCATCGACAGCTTCATGAGCATCAGCATCATCAGCAGCATACTCATCATCATCACCATCAACAACAACATCATCAGCATCAACACTATCATCATAATAATAATCAGAATGATAATGATACTCGGCATCATCATCATCAGACTAATCATCATCCATATCAGCATCATCGGCAACCTAATCATCATCTGCAGCAGCACCATCATCCGTACAGTCGTCATCATCCTCATTATCCTCAGCAGCAGCAGCATAATCAGTAGCAGTATCATCTTCATCATCAGCAGCAGCATCATCATCAGCATCATCATCATCTTCAGCATCATCAGAATCCTCATCCTCTCCGTCGTTCTGCTTACTAGCACCACCCGTAATGCCCCAGTCCCAC